CCCACCCCCACCCTCTCCTCGTGCTGTACCCACTTTCACCCCACTCCGCCATCATAAATCTAACATCTGGGGACTCCTGGTGGAACTTGGACTGTCCGTGACTCGGCTGTTTTTTCAGGGCCATCGTTTGTTACTCTACACGACCTTAGGATGGATGCTGTTTGTCCACCGCTAACAAGCTCTGTGTGATTTGAGGACAGGAAACTTTCATTGACGCTTTCAAGCATACGGTCTCTATTCGCAATATTCGAATACCGTGCGTGTGAGAATATTGTGTTGGGGTTTGGGTTTTTTCTTTTATATTCGACTCCGCTTGTGTTGAACTCGCCTAGGTTGATCTTCGGTTAGGTTGATCTTTTTCTCGGGTCACAGCACCTTAATTTCTTCATGACATATCCTAACGGTTACCTTTGGACTTCGGATGATTTGATCCTTTTTTCACTCCCCCAACATCAACTCACTTTGCAGTCGATTGTATTAAATCTATATACATCCATCGGCAAGATAAGTTATTCAATATTCACCCATCTGGGCGCTTTTCACAGCGTCCGTGGTGGTAGGCTCGCAGTGGGGGCTCTCGTGGCCTATAGGTTAAGGGGTTTGCCTCTCATTCGAAAGTCCCGGGTTCGAATCTCGGTAGCGACAGAAAAAATTTCTTCTCTAAAATTGTCTCCTCTCCCTCCTCCTTTCTTGCTCTCTAGCAATGTTCTGTTGTCTGCTTTTGTCTCCATTTTCTACCCTCACTCCCTCACCTTCTGTGCCGCCTCCTCTGGGCTCCTGACTTTTTTAATAGCCTTTCTACAGCTACTCCTTTGCTCCTTACTGCTGTCTTTCAGCCACACCCCTGTTCTTCTGGTAGAAAGGATCTACTCCTAGTCTTTTTGGACAAGGGTGAACAATCTCGGAGGTCCCGTGTGAAAGTTACGTGCGTTAAAGATCTATTGGTGGTCTAAAATTTCAGTCAACTGAAAATATTTAATATGTAGCGCGTGCTTTTATGACCGTATGCAGTTGCGACCGCCGTAAAACACTTACAAAAAAAAACTACAAAAAAAACCAACAACACAGTGCAATGCAAAGACGTTACATAACGTTACATCCCCATTAAAGTCCTCCAGTTTTGACTGCTAGTGGACGTCAAGCTCATTCCGCCAGTCTACTAAACTGTTAATGTTTTACTACCCTTTGAGGGTCATTCGCCCTCCAGCTACTCGTATTAGTAATATTATGACTTGTGAGTAGCGTCGGTGTCGCAAGCAATCCACTGAAGTCCCTTTGGGTAATTTTTACACCAGATACAAACAACTTTTTTTTAAAAGAACTTTTTCTGTTTCCATCAGGAATCATGAAGAGCGAGAAAAAAAAAGCCTTGACCATTAACTTGAACTGCTTTTACGTGAGGTTGAAAGATGCATCTGTGATTGGGATTTGGAGGGGAGAGGTGTTACCGGGTATATAAAACGAAAATTTCTCAAAATATGTTCGGACGTAAATGAAATGCTTACAACAGCGACGATATTGAAGGTTAGTGATTTGGCTACTTTTAGAAGACGTCTTATATTTATAACTGGTCGCTTGTAAGCGAAAAGGGGCTATCCCAAAACATGCTATTTTGAGAAAATCGAAGGTAAAGTTTTGGGACCCTTGAGCAGTTTCTTTAAAATACAAGGAGAGTTTTCTCTAAAAACTAAGCAAATGTACACACCAATGAAACCAAACTTCTCTTACATGTGACACATTGCCCACTCTTGGTGTAGGTAAAGATTTCTAAAAAAAAAACAACAACCGAAATCTGGGTTTGCCCGCTTGTCCTTAAAAACGATCAACTCTTGTTGGCACAATTTATCACTCTGCCGCGCAGTCTTCAGGTACTGAGTATTGCTGTAAATATCTCAGTAATTTTAGATGCAACGATATTATTCTCCAATGTTACGACGGGTTTTTGGTTTCAGTAAGAGTTTTGCGGTACAATGTATTTGCAACACAATTAGGTTTTAAAAGTGCCGAAGATTAGAGATATAACAAGAGAGTAATATACACAAAAATGAAGGAGGAGAAATGAGTACGATCGATTTATTAGAAAATGAAGGAGCAGACCATACCAGAGCACCTGCAAACCGCTCATACAACGAGGTTAGAAAATAGAAATGAAACTCATTTTTAAAAATCACACAACATTCGAATAGTTGTAAATAGTGGGGAGGGGGGTAATCGTAAATATCGAATGACAAGGTCGAGTAGTCACAACTCTACTCGCGCACCCGTTGTTTTATTCATCACTGCGAGCGACCTCTTCCTCCAAAACGCTTACGTCACGATTACTGTGCGACTGTTAGTTGACAATTGACAGTGTGGTACAAAGTATACATACAGACCTTTGTTCTCACGGGCTTCCTCAGTATTGGCACGGGCTGTTATCAGCGACTCTTATCACATACAGGATTACTGGCTCCTCTCCTCTGTGTATGTGTGCGTGTTTGTCTATCTGTATTTGTCTGTTTGTCTGTATGTCTGTACGTCAGTCTGTCTGTCCGTCTGTCTGTCTATCTGTCTCTCTGTCTGTCTGTCTGTCTGC